GTGGAGTCTGTTCACGCCCCTGTAGAAATCTCTCCAGGATAATCCGAGCCATTAATGAGGGTGCATAGTCCACCTTCAGAAAACAGAAGTAGAAAATTAAAACTGCCAAGCTGTGCCAGCAGTTGATATTCCAATATTTTGTCAACACTGAAGATTAAGTCAATTTTAATCAACTGTAACAAGCATCATTCATTAAAATCTTTTCCACCCTTGGTGGGTTCCATTGTAGTAGATTGTAAGAAGACCTGTGCTGCTGAAAAGAATAGATGGGCCATTTACAAAATGCACATTGGAACCAGCAATGATGGGACAACCTGGAAATAATACTTACCTAAAACAGGCAAATAAGCACTTCTTATCTCAATTTTTGTTGATAGGCCATATTGCTTTCTACTCTAGAACCCCCCCTTTTCTAACCAATGTCTAGACTTACATTATTTTGAGTCCAATTTCAAATTTGAAAAAACTCTCTATTTAGTCACTTTTCAAAAATAAATCAAATGTCCAAATCATTAAAAATATGTATTTTTGACTGATTCCATTTTATCTTTAGAGAGCATTAAGATTTGTAGTAGCTTCTCTACAAAATATATTACATGATAAAAGAAAAAAACTAATTTGCAGAGATATTAAGAATAAAATACAACAATAATATCATCTGCAGCATAAATTAGCATACTGAGTTTGGTCTGGTATTGCTGATCAATTTAGCAAATTCAGAACCCAAAAAGTGAACCTGCTTTTAAATAGAGAATCAAACAGAAAACAAAGAACACTTAGCAAAACAGTCACCTTAGTTGATGATAATAATAAATCATCTACTCATTTATAAAACTTTCTTTTTCAGATTATTCATTAACCATTGATTAATTTTATCATGAAATATATATGTTTTTTAAGAGCAATGATGCCTCCCTAATAGGAGCCTTTTTATACTGAGTGTAAAATGGGAAATATTCCTCATATATTATCACCGGGAATTTTTCTTGACAGGTATTCAAGTCCCATGCTCACACCAAAATTTTATCTTGATTTAGTAACTAGACAAAGAGGGTAGCTTCATTTGTATGAGCAGTTTTCTTTTTTCAAATATGTATGTACTTGGATGCCCTTAAATTCCCCAAGTAGAAAGAAATGCTTTCCACGGAGCTGCTTATTCGTAGTAACCCACATCAGGGCTGACACATGAAAAATGGTGAAATTACTGAAGGTAGTCCAGCCTGAATAAGGACTACCTTATTAGTTCAGGTACCTGCATCTCTCTAATTTTCATATTAATCATGTGTCCATCTTGCTCTGAAATAGGGCCATCATGCTTCATGTCAGAATTTAGCATGTAAGTAAAATTCATAGTGCTTCAAATGTAACTTGAAAATATTTGTGTGGAGAGAACAGAATGACGGATCATATAATCACTAACAGAATGAGATTTCCTAAAATGTTCATTTTCAGGCTTGATCAAGAAAAATGGTATTAAGACATTTATGAAACCAATGATGGCTATCTAGATCCCTTATACCACTCAAATCAACAATAACACAGTGCTTTTGTCTAAGAGGAGAGTTGCTGCACAACACAATGTACAAGTTACACATTTCTCATCAATTTTTACAGTTTCCACTGATTAAATATATATTGAGTCATAAAATATTACCATCACATCAATTGCCACCAGATACAAGCGTATGTCCTTTAAGTATTAACTAGCATATAAACATGGGAGCCTGGATGTTTAGAAGCCATAATCTGGTACCCACCATTTCCAAATTACCCTAATGCATTAGTAATCTGATGCAAAGTGGTTCCTCTGCACTAACTGGGCACCAAAAAGAAAGGGGGGGGGTCTCTAAATCACTATTTATTTGGTGGAGGCTAAATATTGCTATATATTCATGGCAAATAGATTTATTGATATAGGGAAACACATGGTGATGGGTTAGCTTTTTCCATACAGTTAAAAGGTGGAAGCTGAAATCAGTTCCATAAACTAAGCTCAATAGAAGTATCTATTAAAAATTCGAATGAACAGCTGGAGAGTTTGTTTAGTGATTAAGAGCACTGGTTACTCTTCCCTAAGACCTGGGTTGGATTCCCAGAACTCAGGTGGTGGCTCACAACCATCTGTAACTCTAGTTCCAGGGAATCTGACACTCTCCTCTGGCCTCCATGGATATTAGGCACAAACAAGGCACACAGGTATGAAAGCGGGCAAAACATCCATATACATAAAAATAACAATACATCTTTCTTTAAAAGTAAAATCCAAATGAATATAAGGTGCTACTTTAGAGAACTTCCGCTGTCAATGTGATCATCTATAAAAGCAAGCTCCACGTCTGCATCAATTTTTCCCAGATGTACCTACAATGCTACTAGCTCCCTCCTCTCTTCCACAGAGGATAATCACTAAAATTCTACTTAGTGCTCAGGTACCTCAAGTCATTAAGAGTGGCAAGTTAAAACAACAGCAGCAAAATGCCTGGAGATCTCTAACACCCACCTTGTTCTAGAAATAAGAAAATAAGAAACAAGACAAACCATTCTGTGTGTTAGCCACCCTATCAGTTTGTGGAGATGCTTCCCAGATGATTAAAACCATCTCGTAACTGATGGGTAATTGCTCTTCTGCTGACTGCAGCAGTGTGCAGCAGACATAAGCTGCAAGAGAAGCCATCCTTCCTTCCTAATGCAGCATGCAGAATTTGCTGCTCCTGCAACGCTTAATGTTCATGGCACAGAGTCATCTTTAATGCAAACACACATTTTCTGCCTTGCCTCTCTGTTTCCCATTATAACACAACACAGAAACAGTGTGCATTTCATGCCATCCCTATGAGGTTTGCATAAGCCATTCCAACTCAGACTCAATACTGTATTGCTCTCATTACAGTGGATAAATATTTTAGAGTTTAGGAATTAAATATTTTATTTTTCAGTAGGCTCTCTGCAACTATTGTGAACTTTCTGCTGTTTCTTCACTCACAGGAAATCTTCAGGGTTTCCTTTTGAAAATGCTAGGCTGTTAGCTGTTCCCACACACAGGAGCAGATCAGAGTTAACAAATAAGTTCCATAAATCACTTTATACTTGGTGTTAATAAGAATATTATGTTTCTTTATGGGAAGGTGCTTTTCCATAGGCTTGTATCCTTTATTATAATAAAAGTTTACAAACAGAAAAATGAATTAAGTAAATGATACATTGTTAAATATAAAATTTCTCACTTCGTTTTTATAATAGCATAGGTTTTCTTGGCACGCATCTCTTTACTTGATGTAGGTATTTCTCATGCTAAATTAAGGCAACCAATCCTAAGAGCATGTTCAGAGCTGTTTGGTTGAAATTTTCCACAAAATAAGAAGCAAAGAAGCTGTTTGTACATTTGCCTTAAAAGAAGTAGACTAATTATGTCAACTGATTTATTAATTCGTGAAGTTCTTTGTCCAATTATTAAAAGTACAAAGGGACCAGGGAGCAATTTAAATGTCTAACACACCTCAAAATCTTTCCTTTTTTTTAAGTTAATTAAAATTCTGAGTAACACTACTCTTGAAAAGCCCCTTAGGTTTAAATAAAATCATAACAATAACATTACCTCATTGGCCAGCTCCAGGAGCACAGGGGCTGCTCCATTTTTCCCCACGCCATTCAGGTACCTGGATAGACAAAGGCGAGTGGTCATGCAGTGACAAGGGAAGGCCAGCGCAGACTTGTTAGTATCTATCCCCTGTGTATACGTGTTTCTCCTGGGCAAATGCCATGTTGAAGCCCTGTTCCAGTGTGCTGCTGTCACAGGGAAGCAGTGAAGGGAAAGACAGCACAACTTCCCTCCAATCAACCAACGAATGAAGGTGAGGCAGGAGGCACAGCCACACCCATCTCCCTCCATTGCTTCTTCAACTTTGAGAAGTAAGCGAACAGAAGGGATTTCCAGACTCCCATCTACAGCACTCTATGCCTCACACAGCCATCATATAGGGGGGAGGAGGAAAGTCAACTTTCACAGTTTAGACAAAGCATATAGGCATGTCAGCACCCGTGCCACGGAGACCTTACACCCCTGACTGGCAATAGGAGCCATCATCTCATCTGCCCTGTATTTCCATAATAACCTCCAGCCTGCACAACCAAACTGCACTTTAACAGGCCAACAAGCACAAAACCCCAGGTTCTCCCAGACATGGAACACGGGATGGTTTGCTTTAATCAGACTTTGAATGTAGCATCCTCCTCCTCTAAGAGCTCTGAGCACCCACATTCAATCCCAAAGCTGCACAGCACCCACTTACCAGGTACCATGAGGTTCTTTATAATATGGATCTTTTGATGCTGTTCTACTAGTGGTTGAACCTAGCAGTTTACACGTTAGGCATGGGCTCTACCACGGAGCTCTACCCCTAGCCTTGCTTGTGCTCTTATGAACCTGAAACATGGTTTTACTGAGTTGTCAGGCTAACCCTGAACTCACTATGTGGCCCAGGCTGACTTGTATTCCTTCAGCCTTAGCCTGGGATTATAGGCCTGAGTCAGTAGGTCTGGCCATAATCCAGTTCCTATTCACTCTACTTGGCCAGCCTCATCTCCAGCACTGTCTTCTACACTTACTCTTCACCTGTGTTAACTCCATACAGCTCAATACCATGGTCTTCAGCCCACCATCCATGAGTAAGTTCACTCCTCTTCATATACTAATGGGAAGGGATCTTTGTGTCTCTCTATCAGAGAACACAGAATAAGGTATTGCCAAGCCAGAGAAGTTCACCTACTTATGAAGTACACTCCAACATATTCAGAGAATGCCCAAACTGATAAAGAGCTCCAAACTCTACATATATGATACTTTCCAATGTATACCATATGCTCAACAGAAAGATTAGCTTATAATTCTAAATAAGAGATTTATAATAGAACAATATTCCACAATAAAAGTTATACAAATGTGGTTCTGTCACTCTCTTACTGAACTTTACTCAACTTTCTTGTGATAATTGTGTGAGATAACACAAGGCCTATATCACAAGAGGAAGTGAGATGACCGATAGGCACTGTAACCTAGCTTTAGGCTACTGCTGTTCTGACAATAGGTCTGCAGAAGGATCATGGAGCAGATGACCACAGGTTACCTGAGCCATGGAGAGCAAAACACTGGAAAGAAAAGGACTAATTTACTTATCTGTATCAACCTCATCTCCCAGTGTAATGCTGATGGGCTCATAAGGGAACTAAATTTCATTCAGTTTATTATATCTACCACAATTCTTGGCTTACAAAGGATGATTATATAGTACATATGCATACATACTTTTTCTTTACTACTAATAAAATAACTTTTAAATTCACATTAGATAATCTAGCAATATCATATAAGGATAATTTTTCTAACATGTCTTATTTGATTGAATAAATTAAAGTTCTTAGTTGATAGTTTAAAAAATAGAGTAAATAAATCAGTTCTGCCATGTAACTGCTAATAGCAAATACTGCACAGAAGCAAGCAGGGTCACACACCAATTATAGGGAGAGTGGTGGGATTATTTATTTATTTATTTATTTATTTATTTATTTATTTATTTATTTTTTGCGAGACAGGGTTTCTCTGTGTAGCTTTGGAGCCTATCCTGGCACTCACTCTGGGGAACAGGCTGGCCTTGAACTCACAGAGATCCGCCTGCCTTTGCCTCCCGGGTGCTGGGATTAAAGGTGTATGCCACCAACACCCGGCTAGTGGTGGGATTATTATACCTTGAAAAAATTCAAACTAATCTACTTCTCACATACAGGGGCCCTTCTTAACTATAACTGTATTAGGTAGGAAACCACTGAGGAAATAGGGACCTCAGAAGCATGGATGGGAGAAAAGCAAATGTGGGTATGAAACCAGGCCCAGAAGCAAAGGAGGGGGGAGAATAAAGACAGCCCCCCCAAAAGATAAAGGACCCAAAACATGGCAATGGTGGTTTAAAGAACAGAGCCCCTGAGAAATAGGTAGGATGAGAACTTCAGCCTGTATTTCTGGTGCACTGACAAGTTTGCTCAAAGAATAAGATAATCAACGGTGTGGCCATGTTACACTAAATAAGTGTGAGAAGTGCAAACTCTCCAAGAGCTCCAACCCTGGGTCCAGTATTTAACAGCACACCGTCATCAGGGTAGCTTTAGTATTCAACATTTAACATTCACGTATACATCAAATACTTTTGAGAGCTTTGGGTTAGGCCTTAATCAGGGCTCTGAAGAAACATCTCTATGGTTATCATCACAAAGATATGACATTTTTCAGACAACAATAAAACAAACAAAAATGGAATACATAAATACATAATATCTGGTACAATGACATTTAAAATAAGGTGAGTTGCTCAGGAAGCCCTCTTCTAAGTAAGTGGCACTTGAGTCTTGCATAAAGTGAAAGAAGGGATGAGCCAAGGTGTATGTTTTGGGGGCAAATTACTTATACTAGAGACCTGTTGTTTTGAGTCTGAATTGCATCGTTTCTTATAAGAGGTGCACCCATCACTAGATTGATAATATACAATGGGAGCTTCTAATAAGTATAAACAAACAGGAATTGGTCAAACAGCAACCCCAATGTACAAAGTCTACATACATTTAGTCAGTGCAAATTCCTAGTGCGATGAGTACAAAGGCTCCTCAATAGCTCACATGAGGAAACCCACCTCAAGGCACTGATGAAATCTACCCAGGCCAGCACAGTGACGCACATATGAAGCTGCAGTGCTGGAGGGAGGCAGATCACAGAGTCATGATTACTACAACCCATTAATCAGTCAGTAGAGCTGAATCATTCAGTTCCAGATCCACTTGGAGAATGTCTCAAATAAGGAAAAAATACGTAAATAAATAAATAAATAGGTGAAGTGCTATCTGGGAAAACACCTGATGTCAACTTTGGGTCTCCAAACTGAGGTACACACGCACACGCACACGCACACGCACACGCACACGCACACGCACACGCACACGCACACGCACACGCACACGCACACGCACACACACACAGAGGAACACTTACATATATCCCTCACATAGAAAAGACCCTTAGAGAAGACCTATTTTATAATGTCTGACTAGAAGACCTATGATCATGACATTATGTAGTGATTTTTAAAACAGTTGAGTTGGAGATACAGCTCTGTAGCATAGCCCTTTCTAGTGTGCACAAAACCCCACAGCCCTTCTTCAGTGTGCACAAGACCCCAGGCCCAATCATCTGTATAAAACACACAAAAACCCCTAAGTCTGCTCTGTTTTCTCTCCTTTTGCAATGTTCTCTTCTTCCCAACAAACCAGTAAAGGCTGTTCTTATTTCTAAATGGGGTCTGTTTATCACTATTCCGGCCACTCCATATGGATAAGTGACAGAGCTGTGCAGTAAGTACTCTGTAAACATACCTCTGCTGACACTTCCCTTCCTGAAATTCACATATTTAGGGACACAGATATCTTCCATTCCACAGAACAATTGAAGGCAAGTATTGTCTTTTTCCTTCATGCATGGGAGCAGGACAGTAATGTGCAGTAAATGGCGCTACATTTCAGCTTTTTCTTGCTACCACAAGAAAGCCAACCTGAAGAAGGAAAGGGCATGGTCTGCCTCTATCGCTCAGGTCTGAGCTGAGTGATAAGTCACTGAGGGGCACAGTGGATGAAAGAAGCTACTCACCTCGTGTCAGCCAGGAAGCAGACAGACAGGAAGGGGCCAGGACAAGATGTAGGTAGGCTCTGAAGATACATTGCCAGTAACCTACTGAATGGTGTGACCTGCATACGTGGCAAGTCTGGTCTTTTTAGTTATTCCTATCCAGAAATGCCCTTGTTTATTTAAAATGAGAAGTTTGTTTACCATCTTCCCAGGCATTTGTCAATCTAGTCCTCTGACTCTCAAAATTAGCATCAGAATGGAATCAATGTTCAGAAACCAGTTTTATTGTGCACTGTCAATATCAGGTCTCAACAATTCTTTTCTCCGTGTCAACATCTTAGAAAATTCAATTGATCTGATTCTATAGTGCTACTAAAGCTGTTTCCTGAGCCAGTGTGGTTAGAAGGGATGGGAGATAGGATTGCCAAACTTGCTACTGATGCAAACTTACAGATGGTCAGTATTCATTGTCAGCTGTGTTGGCTCTGGAATCACCCAGAGCTGAGTGTATAAGGGTGCTGCGGGTGTTTCTGGTGGTGAACAGAGGAGAGGAGGCTCAATCAGGAGAGGGATAATAGGAGTAAGCCAGTTGAGTGCCAGAATCCCCTGTTCTCTGTGAGGAGCCTCAGCCACACCTCTGCTGCCATGCAGAATACATTCACACACCACAGGTCAGTACAAATCCTTCCTTCCTTAGGTTACTTGTAGGATCTTCAACCCAGCAATAAGAAAAGTTACTAGCAGCCCAACCATGTGTCTACACAAAAGCCTATGTGACCATTTGGAAAACTCAAGATAAATTTCACCAAGTAAGTTCCTGTATGGGAATAAAACAGCACAGTGCAAAGGGATAGAGAACTGTTTCCAAGTGAACACAGTCTGTCTGTAAATATCCAACTGAGAAGATTTCCCCACTAAGGCAAAAGCCCAGGAACACACTTTCTACTGTTGTCCTGATCCTACGAAGTTTTAGTGAATCATGGGGCTCTCATGGTAACCACTGACTTTGAATGCCCAACTGACTTATTTTAATGATACCTAGAATGTGGATTCAAAGGTTCTCATACTGCTGGCAGGACTATCACCAAGACACTTCTAGACAGTAATTTAGCAACATATAATCAATTTCTAAATGTTCACATTGTTTGCACCAGTAATTACATACACAGATATCAACCAGGGCCTATGAGTCAAGCATCATGATGTTTATACCACAGTATTATTTACAGTTTCAGGACACTGGGGACATACTTGGTCCTCAGAAGAATAACCTCGGAAATTTGGTCTTTTATATGGTGAAGTAAGGCAACTAATAAAAGAAAAGGCTTTTTACAAAATAATATTATATCACATACATTTTTCCACAAGAAAATCCAGGACTCATAGTTGCACATATAATATGACCTCGTCTATATAAGAATGGGTTGTCAGAAGGCTGGGATGAAACTTTAACAGGTAGTTATCTCTGAGTGGCACAATTATGGGCAATCATTCATTCCTTTCTGTGCCATCACAAATGGGCTTAATTTTCACAGCAAGTGGTATTACTTTTATAAAGGAAAAAAATTAAATAAGTTGCTATTAACATTTTTCCATCGCCTTTATTCTAAAAATCCTAAAAAAAAAAAAAAAAAAAAAAAAAAAAAAAAAAAAAACAAAAAAAAAAAAAAAAAAATGTTTTTTAAAATTTTTTTCCCCCCCTTTTTTTAAAAAAACCCAAAAAAAAAAAAAAAAAAAGGGGTGGGGGAAAAAACCCGGGGGGGGGGGGGGGTGCTTTTCTCTGAGTCTCAATTACAGCCTCAATTCTGCCTCAATTCTGGTTTTATTTCAAATGTTTTAATGCCTTACCAACTGAGACTTTAATATTTAAAAAGACAGAGAAACAAATGTATTTCTATAACCTTATGACCACTCACTCTACTAATTACTCACTGTTCATTATTTGATAACTATTTTTTTTTTAGAGTAAAACTATCCAGATAATAGAAAAAAAAGTTCATATATCAGTAATTACTTAGACATTTCTTTTTCAGTGCTGGGGATTGAACCTATATCCTTGAACAAGCAAAGGACGTAGTCTACACCCTACTGCAAACCAAGCCTTCTTGTTTTTGTTTTTGTTTTTTTTATTGTGAGACAAGGTCTCACAAAGTTACCAAGTCTGGCTGTGAACCCCAAATCCTCAAGCCTGGGCATCCCTAAAGTTGGAATTACAAGCTTGTGCCACTAGGTTTAGTGTGTGTGTGTGTGTATCTATATGTATATATATACAAACACACATATATGCATATATGCATATATATATATATATATACACTTTTTGATTAAACTAGCTTTTAAAAGTAGATGGTTTGAAATGATCTAATTTCTAATTTCAGGTATCTTCACAGTGAGGCGATTGAGTGTGAGAGCAGCCCTGTCACTATTCATCAAGCCTCACATTTCCCAGACCAGAATGCATATTACTCTCCAATGCTGCTTTCTTCTCCCACCATACAAGACTTTACATCTCAACATGGCCCAGATTCCATCTGACAGCCTAGGACTATAAAGTTTACAAACAAAAATGTATTTCTTTTTATACAGATGTAGTGGTACATGTCTATAAGCATAGTCTGAGGTAGGTGAATTGCCAAGTCAGAGACGGACCTGGGCTGTATGACACCCTATCTCAAAACAAACAATTATTTCTTTGATGTAAAAAAAATAACATTTAGCATTTCAATTTGTTATTATCTACATGTCAAAGCATTTGTAGGTCCTGTAGAACCATTGTAGGTCACATAGAACTTAAATGTAAATTTCATCAAGGTAGCTCTGACTTTCCTTAAATTGTACAAAGACTTGCATAAAGAAGAATTCTATATACAGTGCAAGACAAAAGGGATTTTTTACCATGTGGCAGAGTGAATGACCTTTTAAAAGAAAATCCAATTTCAATAGCTTCTCTAAACCTCAATTCTTTTTTAAAATTTTATAAACTTTATTATTCAAAAACTTGGAAATAGATAAAAAAAACCACACCCCCAAATTAGCCAGACCCCAAAGTCTGTACAGTTCGATGACCTTCTATCAGATACCACCTTACCCCATCACAACGGTTCTCATCAACATATCTGGTAACAAATGTTGGAGAAATGTTGAGAAAAAAGAATACCTACTCAACTGTTGGTGGGGTGCAAATTAATACAGTCAATCTGGAAATCAGTTTGTATATTTCTCAAAAATTTTAAAATAGAACTGCCATATGCCTCATCTCTTTCACTCCTGGGTCCAAACCCAGAAACTCCAGACCCTACCATAGAGATATCTGAACCCATTGTTTATTGCTGCTCTATTCATTATAGCAAGCAAAATAAACCAACCTAGTTGTCCATCAACAGTTGAATGATAACAAAAATTAGTTATATCATCATTACCATTTATTGTTTTTATTCAGACATCAAAATAATGATAACAAATGTCAGAATTAAGAAAATCATAACTACTTTAATGGTTCTGTTCATCTTAGAATAATAAAGCTGAAATTTAAGTATTCTCTGAACATTATGCTGTTGAACACTCAACATTTTCTTCAAAAACATAGAAGTCCCCATTAAAAGACAATAGTTGTATAAAACGGTATGTCTCCATAAAGTGTTTATTTGATGAAGGTCTTCCTCAAATACCTAAAATAGCTAACCCAACAGATAGGGGGCAAAATACTACACTGGATTTCAATCTCATTTCTTTCTTTTTTTTTTCAGCTTTCTGATCTGAATAAGAAATAAATGAAAACTTGCACATATACATGTGGGACACATGCATATGTCAATGTATACACCCATACAAATGTGGTTTATCTTGAATTTCAAGTAGCCAAATAAGATTCAGTAATAACTGAATTCATCTCACACGGGACATGCGCACACACCTAAATTGACATTGTCACCATATTCTTCATGCATGCCAAAGAAAGCTCTTAAAAACTTACTGCCAAATAAACCAAAAGTTTCCAATAACAGTCTTACAATTGTATAGAAAGTCAATTTAATGATCTAATTTATTCATAATAATTACCACAATTAATAGGTACTGTGATACCCTCTAGTGGGGCAGGCAGGTCATACCTCTGGTAATAACTTTCAATCGCTTCTGGAGTGTGATGTTTGGCATGTGTTCTTTTAATATGTTTCTGAAACAAAACACACAGAAAAAAATCTTAATATTGTGTCACATATCAGGTTCAAGAACAGCAGAGACATATTTCTTCATCGCAGTGGCAAGCATACAGGGCAAATGGATAATGGCTTGGGGACTGGGGTGGTAGCAGGATATCCTTTACTGCTACTACATCTATGCATTTTAATCTCCTGCTTGGCTGGAATGTCTTCAGACGGTACCACAAGTACAGTATATATGTAAAAGCCACCAGGGTCATAGTAATTGAATCTAAATAAGTTTGCTTAGGGCCGCAGAGGGCAAAGAAAGACTTGTTCCCTCTTTCAACCTTTGTATTAATTTTCCCTCGATTCAATTCCATCTAAGTCCTCTGCACTCGGGTTTTACAATCCAATTGCCATATTTAACCAGGAAGAACATTGCTTAAAAACAACTTATTTGAAAACTACAAAAAGTAATTCCATAGAGACTTGCCACTTGACTGACACCTGTCATCTCATGATAAATGACTCCATTTTCTGCCTCTCTTGCCTTCTGCCACTCCAGCAGTGGTCATTTATCATCATCTCTGTCAGCAATGGGAAGCGGCACTGACAGTGCGAGTCAGCAAACATTTAGCACATGGAGCCACGCAACACAGGGAAATTATTATTGTCAGAATAATAATGGTTTAGCATAATTTATTACAGGTCCACCAAATAAGCAAAGGCTAGATGTTATTAGACAGATGGATGGGTAGGCTTGGCAGGCCTCCACTGAGACACAGGCGGTGCTTGATGTGGAAAGGGGAACATCCTCCAACCCAATCAGAGAGCTGGCAGTTCAATTACAAAGAAATAAAGGGACATTCATCATTCAATTAGGCACCTGTCAACCCTCACAAAGGAGAAAACTTCTAACCTGGTACTCCTGGGAGAAGATGCTCAGCAGAGTGGCCTGCGATTGACTGGAACAAATAAAAGAAGGACAAAGTTAATTACTGGAGTGCACAGCAAAGAAATAAAAGAGAAAGGACCTTCAAAGGTAGGCCCGCTGCCCTGTAATCCAACAGAACACGAAAACAAGTGTGGAGAAGTTGTTCCAGATGAGAACCTCACACAAAGGCTTCCTGCTGAGAGGTCAAGGAGAGAGGAAGAGAGGATGGGGAGAAAGAACCGGTCCTGATGCAGGAAGCACAGTATTGGGATTCTTGGCAACCTCAGGATGGCTGCATCATATCTGTAGTATAAAACAGGGTTTATACTACAAAGGACAAGAAAAAGGTTTCTTGCCACAAACAAATGAGCTACTCTTGGGAACAGTAGGGAGCATACTTCACTGAGTGACAGCATTCCCAGGTTTATCTTGTTGGCTGTCCCAGCTTCATTGGGGAAACACTGGTCTTTACCAGAGGTTGGTAGCACAGAGGCCAAGGGAACATTCTCACCTACTGGCAAGCTCTGAAAACAGAAGGGAAGGCAGCGGGGAGTGGCAATCTACAAAAGGCCACACTCCCAAAAACTACAGTTAACCAGGATGTCACAACACCAAACACTCGGCAATAAAGCAACCTAGGAAAACCTTCTTCTGAAACAGGGAGTTTGCTTCTGCAACTGTCCCCATTAGAGATGGAACAAAATGTTTCTTTCTCCAAATGTCACCAGCATCCACTGCTGATTCTGATTGTCCTTGGTGGATACATCTACCATTGATAATGACTATTTCTGATATAATCTTCTAGTAAATGCAAACGGGAGAGACTGCACTTTAAATAATCTGACTTTCACAGTATGCCAACACTCTGTGAACATTAATTTTTTTTATTTATGAATGAAACCTCCCAAGTGTATCAGCAGTTCAGAGAGTTTGATATAAAATACCCCCACATTTGCCTTCTCACGGCCAGTGCCTGCAGCTTCTGGAAGCCATCATGGGTTTGGCTTCTGACCCTCCCCACCAGGACCAAATTTTGTGAGGAGATTTAAAACAAAAACAAAACAACAACAACAAAAAATAAACAAAGCCCCACAGAGCCAGCAAGATGGCTTGGAGACTAAAGGTACTGACAACCTGAATTCCATACCTACGACTCACATGGGAAAGAAGGTCCTGCAAGTTGTCTTCTGATCTCCATGTGTGTCATGGCATGCATGTACCCATATATGTATGCATACATACATATTCAACACAATTACATATAAAAATAATTTTAATAACATAATCCTAGTACTTTGGAAACTGAGGCAGGAGGATTGCTCCAAGTTTGAGGTCAATAGCAAGTAGCAGACCAGTCTGGCTACAGAGTGAAACTTTATCTTGAGGGAGGGGGGCCAGGAAGAGAAAGAAAGACAGAAAAGAGAGACAGAGGCAGATTGGGGACATCTTGGGAGTTGGGGCTTCTAGAGTTGTTCACCAAAGAAAGTGGATACTTAATTTAAAAACTACTTCAATATGTCAAAGAGTACTGATTAATGACAGAGGACAATTATAAATTCATTAGCCAATTTTTTTCAATTTCAAATTTTTTCAATTTTTCCTTTTGAAGCTGGAAACCATGTTTTAAAAAACTAATTGTGTGTGTATGTATGTATGTATGTATGTATGTATGTATGTTTGGCTTGCTTAACTTCAGATACAAATCACATGTAGGGTTACTGATACAAGCTTCTGAAAAAGATGGCAAAATAAAGGTCCAATATGTATAAACTACTTTAAAAAGTAAAAGGCATCATATCCATGTATGATTAAGAGACTTCTCATCACAGTACAAAATAGATTGATGTTATTAGGCATTTTGCAGTACACAGAAGGTACACTTCTGGGTTTCAAGGAGTATGGTAGAAACCTTGATTGGAAAGACAAAAGATGCCAGTCATGATGGTGTGTGCCTTTAGTACCAACACTTGGGAGGCAGAGGAAGGCAGATCTCTGAGATCGAGGCCAGCCTGGTCTACAGTGTGAGGTCCAGGACAGCCAGGACTAAACCAAGAAACCCTGTCTAGAAATAACAAACAAACAAAAAAGAATAAACAGTTCCAAGTGAGTCTGGTCAGGATTTGGGAGTACTGTAGGATGAGATCATGTATTTAGCTAGAGAAGATCTTTAAACTGTTCAGTTCTGTTAAAACCATGGACGGAGAGACTAATGGAATAACCAAGTTTAATTCCCATGATACTTGTGCCTTCCTAACAGTTCTGAGAAAAAGGTTCTGCCAGCCGTGTAGGCTAATACCTCTGCTCAAGGATTTATGAGGTTGTATTATACTGCCGACCACCTTGAAAGGTAGAACATGTTGCTTTTTTTTGATCGAAAATTGAAGCCACAAGAGGTCAAATGTTTTAACCAAATTAAATGGCTTTAGATAATATTCCCTTTTTTAAAAATCAAATTGCAGTTTTCCTTTAATTAGCTGCATCAAATAGTTTTCTTTTTGTGTTGAGAGAAAAAGGAACTTTTGATGGCAGGAAAGAGTCTGGGTAAGAAGACTGTTAAGTACTTTCCATTATCCTCTCTACAGCTAAGGTGCCTATTAACTACCACTGCTGCCTCGGGTGTTTCTATCAGACATCACGTGTCTTTTACTCAAATGTTATTTCCATCTCACACATTAACATCTCAAATATCAATGATGAAAACATTTTCTAAAGTGTTAATCTCATAAAACAATACTTAATGAAGAGTTTCCCACTTACAAAAAGCATAGTCTGTAAAACCCAGTTTCATTGCAGACAGCCATCTAGCCTATAGCCTGCCTGTGTTTTCATTCGGTGTCCAAAGAATATGGATTTGTGTGTTACTATATACACCTGGGATGTCTAAAAATCTTGAGTGGTACACATATTTTTGTAATATTCTTTTACCACAAAATACATTTACCATTCCACTAGAAGTATTCTTTTTAAATTATGGTGAATAAAATTTAAAAAATACTACATGGAATAAATGTGCAGCATAAAAAATTAATATTTTTTAAAAGATGGAGGAAAACCACTTAGGTCATTACCTTCAGCACCCTGAGGGACACATAGGCAATCATTATCCTTCCCAGTTAAGGAATGGGTCTTCTAATCTTTCTTTGATTTCCTTTAGTTTTACCATGACAAGTATGTATTCTAGAAGTTAGTGCTGCCTATTGGTTGACATTATAAGAAATGTCTTATGTAATTTTTTTTGTTTTGGTACCTGGCTCCTCATCTACCATGTCTGTGAGCTTGACTTATCCACATTAGACATAGCTACAGTTCATTGCTTACAGTTCACATTTACTCTTGGGGTAATGCATGTTTATGGTCCCATCTCAAAGCTTAAGATATTCCTAAGTATTCCCCACATCTTTCCTAGGCCTGATCTCTAACCTCTGTCTTAACAGTCCTATAATGCCATCAAAAGTATTGCTTGGGACATAACTAGACTACCTCTGACCAAAGGGTAACTGAACTAGAATTTAAGGATTCCAAGTATAGTCCCCCCATCCCCCAAAAAATGTTATCTTCAAAAACTAAAAATCCTACCTAAGTAACCTCTAGAAATATGGAATAACGATGGAACACACAAAACCGATCAGTAATAATGGCAAAATCAATACTCAGGAAAAACTCAGTTTGCTAGATACTAGAATTAGAGGGACATGAATTAAGCTCCTATACAGAGTCCTAACAAACTATACATGCAGGACATTTGTGCCAGTCTTAGGCAGAGTATGGTACATTTATTTTCAAATAAGAAAGAACATACTTCTAAGAACAGTCAACACATTCTTAAGAGCAGAAAGTGGAGAGCTCACACTAGCAAATTATCAACATGAGCAAATACTAAAAACAAATTAACAAAACAGTAGTTTATCAAGAAAAGCAGGTTATAGAATTACATCTACATTTTACCTAAGCAATTCAAAGGATAAAACCACAAAATAGAACCATTTCTTTTTCATGAACATCTCTGGTGTAGTACAGGAAATACTGTGAGACTGACTGGCAGCAGTCAGCTCAACCATGGCTACCTCACATAAGGCAGAGAGGGAAGAATTGCAGGTGTCAATCATACCCGTAAGTATCCATCATTTTTCAAAACAACAACAAAAAATCTGATGGGGGAAAGGCAATGCAGAGAGGGTTAGAATGCTTCCTTTCTGTGAAAGTAAAAAATATCTAAAGCAAACAGGGAGATGAAGAGGCTCCTTATATTAACTCCAGACATTTGTATCTCAAGATACATTTCATAATGAAACTAAATAGTAAACACGGGGAACAAACTGAAGACCTGTTAGATAAATTGATTTTCAGGATTCTCTGCTCTAAAGTCTCCCATTCTAAATGTTCCAACTAATTACAGTCTTAGTATCTATACCTCTTACCTTCCTAATTAAATTTAAGTATTAACTTTTCAGAACAAGCCGTAACATAAATCAGATAAAGAATAGGAAGCCTAGGTGACGGGTACTTAATTATGCCAGCCACTCCAGGCTCCTGGTCATTCTTCTCCTAAGAAATTCTGATAACTTAACAAATTATATAAATAATAAATCCATAGGAAATGTTTACCAGCCATCTTATTAAATTTAAACTTTTCTCCCTGCAATGGTATCTTTAATAAATCATACTAAACTACACTATGAGAAGCTCTGAATTAAACTTGCAGTCATTTTATTACAAAAGAAAAGGTTAGCATATGGTGGGACCTGATGGTGGCCTGCATGTGATGATACTATTTCCCTTCCTGAATAAAATTCAACTTTCTTCTAGTTCTTTCTCTCCCCTGGCTATTCCTTACCTTCTTCCAAGCATGCTTCTGCTTTCCTAATCCATAACTGCCTTCCTTTCAAATATCATCCATCTCTCCTTTTCCCCCTGAGTACTGGGATTCTAGGGAACACAACCATGTCTGGCTGTTTATCACTTCTTTCCCATCAATACATCTTTGGTCTAACAGGCCTTTGGGTCCACAAATCCCATTAAGCCTCTAGCTCA